GCCGTTGCTCACCAGTGAATGCCTGCTTCTTACTGGGCTGCCTGCTCCTTCGATAGCCCCATAACTTTCCCTCTTGCTTCCCCCGCCCTAAAATCTGGAGGCTGAGGGAAGCTTCTGGCAGAGTGCTTCCAATGGGGGGGGGGTTCCTGCTCCTTTGTGGTCTTGGTGGAAGGGGAGGTTACACACGCACACAAACACACACACATACACACAGAGGACAGTCCAAAGCAGCACGAGAAAAAAGGAGTTAGTAGAGAGACTGGTGTCTGGAACCCTGCAATACTTACATTCCCACCTCCAGGGACATGCTTAATATTGTCCTTGGACCCACACTTGGACTGGACGTGGCTGTAGTTGGCTTTCTTGGAGACTATCTGGACCTGGAACGTCACAGAGATGGAGACACAAGGGAAGAGGGCTGGTTAGAACTCTCTCGAGGGAGTGGGGACACGCAACGGCAGAAGGGTGGACGGACAGAGGACTCGTGTTAGAACCTGAACCCAGCTCCGAGGATTAAGCGTGAACAAACTTAAGAGGGGGGGGGAGGGGGGAGGAAGAGGAGGCAAGCAGACAGCGACAAGGAAGCGAAGCAGACAGTGGTAAGTAGCGGCAAGAGCAGAGCGGCAGACCCCTCTCTGCATGATCTGCAGCAGAGAGGAGAGGGGGTGTTCACTGAGTACGGAAGAGACTGCCAGGAAGACTGGCCTTTATGGATGCACCCCCGGTGGGAGGAGGAAGACTCTAATAGAGCATTAGTGCGGTAACTGGTGCTTTCAGACGGAGCCCAGCTTGCAAGTGTGTTGTTGGCAAATGGCTTTTTCCAAAACTTGTTGGACTTCCCCTGGAAAGGATAAATCCAGGTTAACTGGGGCACAGAGAGTACAGGGCTGGCATTTTGATGCAAGGAAGCCGTGTGGATGTAAGGGGGAGAAAGCCTTTTGTAGGTAAAGGTAAAGGGACCCATGACCATTAGGTCCAGTCGTGGCCGACTCTGGGGTTGCGGCGCTCATCTCGCTTTATTGGCCGAGGGAGCCGGCGTACAGCTTCCGGGTCATGTGGCCAGCATGACTAAGCCGCTTCTGGCGAACCAGAGCAGCGCACGGAAACGCCGTTTACCTTCCCTGCTGGAGTGGTACCTATTTATCTACTTGCACTTTGAGGTGCTTTCAACTGCTAGGCTGGCAGAAAGCAACGGGAGCTCACCCTGTCGGGGGATTTCGAACCGCCGACCTTCTGATCGGCAAGTCCTAGGCTCTGTGGTTTAACCCACAGTGCCACCCGCATCCCGCAAGCCTTGTGTGCATAAGGACAAAAAACACACCTATCTGGATGCTCCCTGTATTGGGGTGGGTTCCATTGAGTCTGGTATGGTCCACTTTTCAACATGATAGACTGACGTGTTTTAAATTTGCAAAGGAAGAACACAGAATTTGGGGTGCCGTTGACACAGTTAAGGCTGTCACTGATCTGTGCTGTATGGCCTTGAGTATACAGTCTTGCTTCAGTAGAAGTGATTTAACTGCGATTCCTCCACACTGCGTGGCACTGGGCTAGATGACTTTTGGGGGTCCGTTCCGACTTTACGATTCTATGATTCCATGAAGTGCCTTATGGGTTCAGGCCAAGGTGTCCATCATTCTGTGCAAGGATCCCAGAGACCAGCAGGTGCTTGGGGGTCCCACAGCCTTCCCTCTGCCTGCCTCTGGATTGCGTAATGCAAACGGATGCAAAAACCCCCCTGAAAAGCACCTCATCTCAGTTGGCATTATCGAGTACCTTGCAAGGACCAGGGCACATCACCCAGAGGCGCCAAGAGGAGAAGGCTTTGTATCATCTAGTGCAGCGGTCTCAGCCTGTGGGTCCCCAGATGGTGTTGGACTACAACTCCCATATCCCTGAGCTCTGGTCTTGCTAGCTAGGGGTGATGCGAGTTGTAGTTTCAACCACACCTGGGACCCACGGTGAGAAAGGCTGATCTAGTGTCTATGTATTACTGCTTGCAGGAGGGACTGTGTGATTTCCCTGGACTTCTACAGTGTGTGCTCGCAAGAAAATAGGCGCGAGTTGGATCTTATGATTTGTTCTCTGCGAAGCAGGAGTGGGAAAGTTTTGCACAAGCTCTCCGCGTCTATGGGTGACCTGAAGTCAAGTCCACTTATAATGTTGAAAAGGAAACAAACTTGCAAGTAGCTTGGAAGCAACCTATCTGCGAAGCAAAATTGAGAGTTTTTTGTCTAGGCTTCGTCTTGCGATACATGCTTGTCTTTCTGGCAAAAATAGTGCTTGGACACAGGTAGTTCTGGATCAGGTCAAAGGGGACCCGTCTCATCCAGCACTCTGTTCTCAGTGGCCAAACAGATGCCCCAGTGGGAAGCCTGAGAAGAACCAGGGTGCAACAGCTCTCTCCCCATCTATCATTGCAGGGGATCCCTTCCAAGTCTACTTATAATTCTATTCCATGATGCCCAGATCTAGGCTAGTAGTCTGTGATCAGCTTTACCTCCATGCCTAATCCTCTTTTAAAGCCATTTAAGTGGGCAGCTGCTGCCACTTCCTGTGGCAGCGAGTTCCATAGTTTAAAGATGTGCTGTGTGAAGTAGTACTTTCTTTCGTCTCCCCTCACTTTTCCAACCTTCTGGGTGCCCTCATGGGCCTTCAAACGGGCCTGATGAGCTGTATGCCGGCAGCTCCTGTTAAAACCTCCCCGGTCTTTGGCTGAAATGTGTCTAAGGGGTTAACACCAGGCCTGTCTGTATTAAAGACCTGCTTTGTTGGGCTTCCTTTTCCATGTCCTTTTATTGGTTGTGCCTCAAGAGAAACAACAAAGAGTCCTTTGGGCTGGCCAAAAAAGCTTATGACACAATGTAATTTGTTAGTCTTGAAAGTGCCACAAAACGGCTGTTCTTACTGCGGCCAACAAAGACTGTTATCCCCCTGGGCGTCATATGCAGAGAGGTGACCTATATCAAAGGCTTGTATTTCAGGATTTTTTGAACATTCTGGCCCTCTAAAAAGGGCAGGCAACTGAACTCACCTTGTGTTTTGTACTTCCAAAGGAAGCACTCTGGTTAACAGCCGGCTAATCATTTTCTATGGGGAATCACTAAAGGTATGGAATGATGGGTGCATTGCAACTGTGCATGCAGAACAGCACACATGAACTACATGAAGCACGAAGACCACCTCCTGCATAGGCTTTCCAGCTAAGAAAATGTTGAATGCAATGCACCCCAACATGAAACTACGGCTGGGCTGAATGGAGATGCGCTATTAGATTCTATCTCTCTCTCTCTGTGTGTCTGTCTACCTATCTAATCCAGGGTGTCCCAAACTTGGTGTCTCCATTTGTTTTTGGACAACAATTCCCATCATCCCTGACCACTGGTGCTGCTACCTGGGGATGATGGGAGTTGTAGTCTAAAAAAAAAAAAGCTAGATTCAAATTTGGGAAACTCTAATCTGATCTAATTACTAATGTAATCTATTTATTTTTTGCATTTATGCTCCACCTTTCCTCCAAGGAGTTCAAGGTGGTATACGCAGTTATCTTCCTTCCCAATTATTCTCACAGCAACCCTGTGAAGCAGGTGAGGCTGAGAGGCAGTGACTGGCCCAAGATCACCCAGTGAGCTTCAGGGCCCAGTGGGGATTTGAACCCTGATCTCTGCGGTCCTAGTAGTCTGATGCTCTAACCACTACGCCACACTGGTTCTCTGTGTTCTACCTCCACTGCCTCTGAACACCAGTTCCTCGGAACGGCAGGGGGTGAGAGTGCTGCCGCTGCACTCAGGTGCTGCTTGTGTGCCTCTTGCAGGCATCTGACTGGCCTCTGTGAGAACAGGACACTGGACTGGATGGGCCACAGGCCTGGTGTGTTATGTTGTAGCCCTGGTGGGGGCCACGTTGGCAAAGGCGGAGGCACACATTTTACAAGGATAAGCCAGAGCTTTTGTTGTTGTTGTTGTTTAGTCATGTCCGACTCTTCGTGACCACATGGACCAGAGCATGCCAGGCACTCCTGTCTTCCACTGCCTCCCGCAGTTTGGTCAAACTCATGCTGGTAGCTTCGAGAACACTGTCCAACCATCTCGTCCTCTGTCATCCCCTTCTCCTTGTGCCCTCCATCTTTCCCAACATCAGGGTCTTTTCCAGGGAGTCTTCTCTTCTCATGAGGTGGCCAAAGTCTTGGAGCCTCAGCTTCAGGATCTGTCCTTCCAGTGAGCACTCAGGGCTGATTTCCTTAAGAATGGATGCGTTTGATCTTCTTGCAGTCCATGGGACTCTCAAGAGTCTCCTCCAGCACCATAATTCAAAAGCATCAATTCTTCGGCGATCAGCCTTCTTTATGGTCCAGCTCTCACTTCCATACATCACTACTGGGAAAACCATAGCTTTAACTATACAGACCTTTGTCGGCAAGGTGATGTCTCTGCTTTTTAATATGCTTTTTACAAGATGTAAAAGGTGGCAGCTGTGCAGTCCTGGTTTTGGAGAGGAACCCACCTGGGCTGCTTCTCCCAGAACGGTCACCCTCTCCCCTTCATCCTTTTGAGCAAAAGGCACCCTTGGCTTTCGAAAAATCTTTCCCTGAGCCTGGCAGCTGCTTGCCCTTTTGAAACCAAGTGCCCCTGCTCTGTCGGAAGCAGAGAGCACAGAGTCTTCCTGCTGGCAGAGGCCAGACGTGGGGAGCAGAGGGAGGCATCGCCACGTCCTGACAAATCACCCAAGTCCGACTTAATTGGGGTCAGGTTTGATGCCAGCCAGTCGGGGGCATTGTCCATGTCCTGGACAAGCTGAAACACGTCCCAGAGGCCATTAAGAAGCCGGACAAAAAGGGCTGTGTTGGAAAGCCCAACCTGAGCGGACAAAAGCACAGAGGAACGCGCAGGCCCTGGCGGTGCCAAGCCAGAGCTGGTGACTCTGTTGATTATGCCCTTCTCCTGAGGCTAGTGGGTGCTGGCAACTCCAAAGCACTTGGCAGTGCAAGGTTGCCCGAGTGTGCTCTGGGGTGCATCTGGCTGCTACAGCTGGTTTGCCAGCAGTGGTTTTCTAAACCAGTGTGTCTTGTGTGTCAAAATAAACACATGTAGAGTTTGGATTTGATATCCTGCTTTATCACTACCCTAAGGAGTCTCAAAGCGGCTAACATTCTCCTTTCCCTTCCTCCCTCACAACAAACACTCTGTGAGGTGAGTGGGGCTGAGAGACTTCAGAGAAGTGTGACTGGCCCAAGGTCACCCAGCAGCTGCATGTGGACGAGTGGGGAATCGAACCCGGTTCACCAGATTACGAGTCAACTGCTCTTAACTACTACACCACACTGTCTCCCAACAGCGCCGGCAAGCACAGCCAATGGCTAAGGAAGTTGGGAGCTGCAGTCACAGAATCAGAGAATCATAGTGTTGGAAGAGAACCACTGTCATCTAGTCCAACCCCCTGCAATGCAGGGATCTCAGCCAAAGCATCCATGACAGATGGCCATCAAATCTCTGCTTACAAACCTCCAAGGAAGGAGAGTCCACCACGTCCCGAGGGAGACCGTTCCACGGTTGAACAGCTCTTACCGTCAGAAAGTTCTTCCTGATGTTTAGTCGGAATCTCCTTGCTTGTCACTTGAAGAAATTGGATCATAGACTCGTAGAGTCGGAAGGGACCCTATCATCTAGTTCAACCCCCCCTGCACTGTAGGAATTGCAACTCAAGAATCCCAGTCCAACAACACTTGGAAGGTCAGAGGTCAAACACACACCCCACCCCACCCCAGTGCATAGAGAGATTGTGCATAAGCTATTTAGAAACATCATCCACCATGGAAACAGCAAATGTGGGAAGCTGGAAAGTCCTTGCAGCATTTGGAGTGAGAAGATTTCTCTTCAAAATACTCTTGCTTTCCAACGCTGGGGATTTGACTAACCAGAGGACACCAGAAGCCTCTCCCCGGGAGATTTGTCTCCCTGGGTCCAGCAGAACTAAATCCCTGCTTCTCTTTGAGGTGGCCAGTGTGTGTTATCACTTGATACTGTAGGCGGGGACTCGCATCAAGGAGCACTTCTCCATGCGAAGACATCCCCTCCACACAGAAAGCTAGCGGGCCAGGGGAAGGCGTAACCTGGAACAGCTTTCTTGTGGCATTGAGGTGCATTCCGCAGTGACAGTTCCTCACTCACAAACATAAATTTGCCTCCCTAGCAAGAGGTGTTATCCTACAGCAAGCCACTGCTACTCATGTGCATTAGATACCGTTCTCAGGCTTGTCACAGACAGGCTTTACAGGACGCAGCAAGGAGCTGAAAATTCTCAGGGATGGAGAGGTTGGCCGATTCTTGGGAAGCTGCGGGTGCTGGTGGGAAGCAGCCCACCCTCCTTTCTCGGTCGGAAGGCAGAGCCAAGCAATTCCCCCCACCATTGCAACCTTGAGGATGGTCTCTGAGCACCCTCCTGCTGTTAGAAACACATGGGGCTGGGACAGCGAAGGTTGCTCCATTGAGGCAAATGGGGCACAGCCCGGCCAACGTCAGCCTGTCCTTCACCAGTCCCCATTGGTCCCCCTTCCTACTGCCCAGGGGCTCTCCAAGCTTCCTCCTCCATGCTGCCCTTGTAGGACTTGGCAGGGAGGAACAAGACTCTTGTTAGCTCCGCCTGCCATTATCTCTGGCGCCACCTACTGTTGGCCTCCCAGATCCAATGAGCACCAGCCGCCGCTGGGCTTGGTGTTCCGTGTCAAAGGCACATTCAGGAAAATGTTTGCGGGATGGCTCTCTGTGAAATCCACTGGCAGGAGGGCAGGATGTACAACAAAGAAGGTGCGTGCAAAGGAAAGGGGGATGGGAATCCGGGAAGAAGAGAGTGTCAATGCCAAGAGCGGGGAGACAGGAAACAAAGATGTGTAGAGAGCTAAGAGAGAAGGGAAAGTGACCCAAAACATGGAACGGGAGCAGGTGGAGCAGGAAATGAAAAGTGCAGCGTAGCAGAAGAGCTGCCGCTCGCCTCTCCCGAGTGATAGAAGTCTGAAATGGAACTCACTTTCCCATTGGGCTGCTTTGGGGCGCCCTCTTTTGAAACAGCCGTTTTAGTGGGGGCCGTTTTAGATACTGCATTGAGTTCGGGCTTTCGGGCAGCCCCGGCGGACTCTGCCTTTCTTTCTACTTTTGCCTAAATGGAGACAAATGGAGGGTGACTTTTTGCATCATGAAAGGAAATAAAAATATAACGAAACGAAAAGCAATGACGGGAGGGGGAAGGGCAGCTGGATGTCTAAAACAACATTCATGGGGATCCGACAGGCCAGGGAGGAGCCCGCACACAGGTGGGAGGTGGTGGTCTGACGGGGTGGGAGAGGGCAATGGCTCAAGAAAGTAGCCTCCTTGCCTGGAGCTGGGAGACCTGGGTGGAAGACCCCACACCTGAAATGCTAGCTAAGGGGGTGGTCTCCCTTTTGCAACTTAGGGAGCCTTCCCCTGCTGTCCACGATGGTCACAGCGGCACCTATGTGATGCTCAAGCCTGGAGAGAGTCTTCAAGAGCCGGCGCAGCATGGCACAAACTGGGGAGTCTGGTAAATGGCTCTCCACCCCAAATTCTGGTTTGGGGCAAAATGTGGCAGTCGCTCATTCAGGGGCAATGCAATCTAAGGATGTTGGATGTTCTAATCTAAGGATGTTGGACAGCTCTAAACGGCCTCGGTCCAGTATATCTGAAGGAGCGTCTCCACCCCCATCGTTCTACCCGGAAACTGAGGTCCAGCACCGAGGGCATTCTGGCTGTCCGCTCACTGTGAGAAGCCAAGTTACAGGGAACCAGGGAGAGGGCCTTCTCGGTAGTGGCACCCACTCTGTGAAATGCCCTCCCACCAGATGTCAAAGAGAACAACAACTACCAGACTTTTAGAAGAAATCTGAAGGCAGCCCTGTTTAGGGAAGCTTTTAATGTTTGATGTATTACAGTATTTTATAAATTTTTTTGGAAGCCGCCTAGAGTGGCTGGGGAAGCCCAGCCAGATGGGCGGGGTATAAATAAATAATAATAATAATTATTATTATTATTATTATTATTATTATTATTATTATTAGCTCTTCCAAGCTACAGGTCTCCCAAGATGGAACGCCCATTTTTGCTATCCACCATTATCCAAAGTGCACAGTCTCTTGACCCAGACACCTCCACCCTGAAAACAGTCCCTGGATGAAAGTTGGAATTAATTTCTCGAAAGCCCACAAACCATTTATCTTCTGGGGTTCCCACCCTTTTAAAAAAACACCGGGTTGTTGTCGGCATTAGGTAAGATTCCTGTGCCACTGTGAGCCTCTGGGGGGGCCCCTTTTAACCCCCAAATATTCTTGCAGTCAAATCTGGGTTCTGTTAAGGCTGACTGCTTCAAGCCCACCCTAGGGAACAACGAGACAATGGCGCAGATGGTACTGAGCAGTTTCAGGCTTGGAAACACAGGTCAGAGACTCAGCAACCACTGCAGGAAGCCAGATGCTCCCTGCCGGTGTCTAATGCTGGCGGACGTCTAAGGAACAGGGGCTGCCTTCCTGCTCTTTGAAGTAAATGCACCTAAAGACAAGGCAACCTGCTCCATCACAAATTCTTCTAACGGATCACAAACAGAGGGAAGACTCAGGAGGGAGCAGCCAACTGGGAGAGAACAATTAGGCTGTGAACATGCATTCCATTAAAATACATCTCTTGACTGCGGAAGCTCTAGAGTCAAAGGGGTGCCAGGATTCAGAGGGTCTCCCCTCTGATCCTGGCTCCCAGCAGCAGCAAAAGCAGCTCAAGCCAGTCTTGCTCCCTTCCTTTCTTCCCACTGGTCTTTCTTGGATGGATGGCGGATAACAGATTGAGGTTGAATCCTGACAAGACAGAAGTACTGTTTTGGGGGGACAGGAGGCAGGCAGGTGTGGAGGACTCCCTGGTCCTGAATGGGGTAACTGTGCCCCTGAAGGACCAGATGTGCAGCCTGGGAGTCATTTGGACTCACAGCTGTCCATGGAGGCACAGGTCAATTCTGTATCCAGGGCAGCTGTTTACCAGCTCCATCTGGTACGTAGGCTGAGACCCTATCTGCCCACAGACTGTCTCGCCAGAGTGGTGCATGGTCTGGTTATCTCCCGCTTGGACTACTGCAATGCACTCTACGTGGGGCTACCTTTGAAGGTGACCCGGAAACTACAACTAATCCAGAATGCGGCAGCTAGACTGGTGACTGGGAGTGGCCGCCGAGACCATATAACACCGGTCTTGAAAGACCTACATTGGCTCCCAGTACGTTTCCGAGCACAATTCAAAGTGTTGGTGCTGACCTTTAAAGCCCTAAATGGCCTCGGTCCAGTATATCTGAAGGAGTGTCTCCTCCCCCATCGTTCTGCCCGGACACTGAGGTCCAGTTCTGAGGGCCTTCTGGAGGTTCCCTCACTGCGAGAGGCCAAGTTACAGAGAAACAGGCAGAGGGCCTTCTCGGTAGTGGCGCCCGCCCTGTGGAACGCCCTCCCATCAGATGTCAAAGCGATAAACAACTACCTGACATTCAGAAGACATCTGAAGGCAGCCCTGTTCAGGGAAGTTTTTAATATGTGACATTTTAGTGTATTTTTCATCTTTGTTGGAAGCCGCTCAGAGTGGCTAGGGAAACCCAGCCAGATGGGCGGGGTACAAATAATAAATTATTATTATTATTACATGTCAAAATAATGTTTTGTTTCAGCTTCTCTTAAATGTGGCTAAGGGCTGGTTTGCACCAGCTTTAGGAAGGGCCAGCAAAGGGCAAGGTCGTCGTAACTTAGAGGTGGAACATCTGCTTTGCATTCAGAACATCCCAGGTTCAGTGCCCAATGGAATCTCCAGGTATGTCTGGGAATGCCCCTGTCTAAAAACTTGCAGAACTGATGTCAGCCAGCATAGTGAGTTGGGTGGACCAATGGTCTGACTCAGTTGCTGTTGTTGGCGCCCATCTGCCTCAAGAGACAGTGAAGTGCAGCTCCAGGGGTGAAATCAAACCGCTATGTCAGCAGCACCAAAGCGACCACCCTGGGGCGCAAGCCTAGGCAGTGTGTCTGGAGGTCCTGGGCTGCCTAGACAACAAGATCACCCTCTCAGCCTCACTGACGTGGTCCAAAGGAAAGCAGAGCAATATATCTGGCACCAGCTGGGCTGATTTGTGTAGGGTTTACTCCTTAGCCCTTTCTTCTTCCAAAAATATTGCACAAAGCAGCGGAGGTTTAGGATCAGAGTTTTCCTCCTCCTAAACGAGCTACCTTCCCAGGCAGATGAGCCCCACCTGCCCCAATATATGTATTTCTACATATACAAATCTCCCGTTAATTTGTGTGCGCTGACCTCAAGTGGGTGTTCTGTCTGAGGCCTCATATGCTGGTCCTGATCCCCGGGAAGTACAGGACATTTCAACTACTGGAGAATCTTGCTGACAAGCCTTGGTTCATGCACATTATCAATGAAACTCTGAAGGGAACTATGGACTCTATGGACACTGATATGGCCATTACCATTCCCTTTGGCACGGCTGAAGATGATGCAATTTCTGATCCTGGTTCGGAAGGGAGTTGAGAGCCAAGGACAGCCAACTCTCCCCCATGGGTGGGACCCAAAATCTCTTTTAGGGGTGCTGACGTTTCCATCCTTGCAGATGGGGCACACAAATCGCCCCGCCATTTATCCACAGGGAGAGATCTAAAGCCCCAATAATTCAACCCATCTCTTCCAACATGTTAGCAGATTTAAGGCTGGGGGGAGTCCGTGGGTTGTTACTTAAGGGGAAGTCAATGCATTAATAAGCCCTTGGTTGCCCCAAGTAAACATTGGGTTTGAGGCCCAGCCAACCAGGGCAACGTAAGAACCCCAGCAGATTTAAGGCCCTGATTCCGCCCCCGCAAGAGGGATCTCACAAAATTAATCCAAACAGAGACCTGTTCCACTGATCTTTCAGAGAAACGGAGCACAAGCAGAGGCTCAATAATTTGAGATGTGTTTGGCCACAAAAAGATGACACCTCTACAGAGGGACCAGTCTCTCACCCTGAAAATTTGGGGATTAGCCAAACCTGCAGAACACAGCAGCAGCCAAAAGAGGGCTCTGTAAGAGAGCCACATCAAAAAAGCTCTTTGCCCTCCCTCCCTACAAGCACTCTCCTGGCTGGACCATGCAGACAGGCTCAAATCCTTTCCTCCGAAAGTGACCCCCTGGAGATCTGAGCTCTGTGTTTCCAGATCCAAAGCATCCGCTTCTCTGCTGCAAAAAAGAACTAAGGCTGGCAACTACAGCAAGTGTGAGGGGCTTGAGGACAGCAGCAGCAGCTCCTTCTACAAGAAGGACATGGCAATCTGCGGCTCTCTGGAGGTTTTGCTGGACTACAACTCCCATGATCCTTAGCCATTCACCATGCTGGCTAAGGCTGCTGGGAGTTGTAGTCTAGCAGCACCTGGAAAGCCACTTCCTCCCCCACCACTGTGCTAGGGTAGCACCCTGGATTTCAACTCCCATCCACCCCAGCCAGCATGGCCAAGAGACAGGGATCATGGGAGTTGTGATCCATCATCGCTGGGAGAGTGTCATGTGAGCACAGACAACCAATTGCCCAGAGAGATTATGGGGCAGGGGGACTTACCCGTCCTCCGCCAGGCTGGTGCTTGATGTTGTCCGTGGAGCCGATCTTGGAGCGGACGTTCTTCAGGTCGGGGGCAGACACGCTACTGGTGGGGGGCCGGGAAGGCTTGGCGACGGGGCTGGTTTTTGGTGCGGTTTTGAGCGTGGACGCCTTCTTGGGCTCGGCGGCAGAGCTCCCGGTCCCCGAGAGCCTGGGCGTGGCTGGCTTGGGCCGGCTAGCGGCTGCTCCGGGCAGGCCGGGGGCAGCAGCGGTCGGGGTGGTGGCGCTGCTTTTGGCAGCGGTGGAGGCCGGGGCGCTCTTTGGACGGCTGAGGTCGGCTGCCGAAGGAGGAACAGAAGGAGGAGGAGGAGGAAGAAGAAGAGAGGACCGTCAGCAGGGGAAGCCGCAGAGCCACCCGAAGAAGCCCCACGTAGCCACCCAAAGAAGCAGGCAGGAAGCAAAGCAGGGAGAGCAGGTTACCTGATGGCGATTTTGCGACGGTCTTCTTGGCATCGGCAGGTTTTGCGTCTGTCTTGATGGCTGCACAACACACAAAGACAGCAGCCAAGCTGAACCTCTGCTCTGCCGGGGTCAGTCCATGGCAGGGCCTTGCTGGTGCCACAGTTAAGCAGGCTACCACCGCCCCTGTCAGGATTCCCAACACCCTACATTTCTCTCATGCCAGCGTGGTGCAGTGGTTAGTGTACTGGACTAGGGAAGGTAAAGGTAAAGGGACCCCTGACCATTAGGTCCAGTCGTGGCCGACTCTGGGGTTGCGGCGCTCATCTCGCTTTACTGGCCGAGGGAGCCGGCGTACAGCTTCCGGTTCATGTGGCCAGCATGACTAAGCCACTTCTGGCAAACCAGAGCAGCGCACGGAAACGCCCTTTACCTTCCCGCCGGAGCAGTACCTATTTGTCTACTTGCACTTTGAGGTGCTTTCGAACTGCTAGGTGGGCAGGAGCAGGAACCGAGCAACGGGAGCTCACCCCGTCACGGGGATTCAAACTGCCGACCTTCTGATCAGCAAGCCCTAGGCTCTGTGGTTTAGTCCACAGCACCACCTGCGGGAAACCAAGGTTCAAATCCCCGCTCAGCTAAGGTAACTCACTGCATGACCTTGGGCAAGTCACGCTCTCTCAGCCTAACCTACCTCTCTGGGTTGTTTTGAGGCTAAAAAATGGGGAGAACTGTGCATGCCACCTTGGGCTCCACCACCCACATCATGTTGCCTCCTGGATGCTAATGTGTACCATCTACATAGCCATTTTTTAGGGACGCGGGTGGCGCTGTGGGTTAAAGCCTCAGCGCCTAGGACTTGCCGATCAAAAGGTCGGCGGTTCGAATCCCCGCGGCGGGGTGCGCTCCCGTTGCTCGGTCCCAGCGCCTGCCAACCTAGCAGTTCGAAAGCATCCCCGGGTGCAAGTAGATAAATAGGGACCGCTTACTAGCGGGAAGGTAAACGGCGTTCCGTGTGTGGCTCTGGCTCGCCAGATCAGCGATGTCACGCTGGCCACGTGACCCAGAAGTGTCTTCGGACAGCGCTGGCCCCCGGCCTCTTAAGTGAGATGGGCGCACAACCCTAGAGTCTGGCACGACTGGCCCGTACGGGCAGGGGTATCTTTACCTTTTTACATAGCCATTTTGGGATGTAAGCAGTATATATGAATCAATAAAAAAGCAAAGAAAGAGAGAATGTGCAATTGAAGCAGGCAACACAAATGTTAGGGGTGATACACAAACTATGTCATGTTCAGAGGAGACCTACTGAAATAAATGGATTTGTTACTTAAATCTATTTATTTCAATGGGTCCAACCTAGCCATTTTAAAATGCAATTCCTAGTGTTGTCACTGTTCTCCATCTCGTCTAAGCCCAAAATAGCCTCCAAGGCAGTTGGCCATTCTCTCCCTCTCTCTGATCTGAAGAGACACATTGCTCTTAAGAATTTCAACTCGCAATGCGCTATGCTCCACACAAGGCAGGGGAAATATTCAGCGTCAGGGTAGATCAAATCCTGCACCGACAGCAAAGCAGTGAGAAACCGACTTGCTGGATTGGACAAAGGTACTCAGGCAGCAGCCAGCCACTGGGAAACTCATAAGACGAAGAAGAAATCCTCGACTGTGATGGCCCAGTGTAAACACTGCAAGAATTGCTTGTTTTCCGCACTGTGGGAAACGACTAGAAGTTCTGCACAGTGCTATTTATCAAGCAAACCATACATAGAGCACGGTTGGTTTATGAGCTTCAGTCTAATATGTCTCCACCGGTAGATTTAGGAATTTAAGCTTGAAGCAGTATACAGCCCAGATCATACACAGGCTGGGCTAACTAACAGCGAGGTCCTGTTCCTCAGTCCCGGGGGTTAACAAAAATACCTTAGATGCTGCCTTACATGGAGTCACACATAGCAGCCTGCTGGATCAGGCCAATGGCCCTTCTAGCACAGCATCTTGATTTCCCAGTAGCCAACTAGATGCCTCTTCTGGGAAACCTGCAAGCAGGATTAGGCACAAGGGACATTATTCTGCCTTAGGGTTTCCAGCAACTGGCATTCAGAAGCATTGTGGCCGCCAACTACAGTATAGCCATCAATATCCTTCACCTGCATGAATTTGTCTCATCCTCTCCTAAAGCCATCTAGGTTGGTGGCCACGACTGCCTCCTGTGGGAGGGAGTTCCACCGGTTAACAATGAACCGCATGGAGAAGTCCTTTCTTGCTGGGTCCATCTAGCTTGGCCATGTCTGCTACATTCACCAGCTGTGTCTCTCCAGGGTTTCAGAAAAGGGATGCTTCCAGACCTGAAGATGCCGCTGGGTACTGAACCCGGAACCTTTTGCATGCAAAGCAGAGCCTCTACCCACTGAGCTAATTGTCCCTATGTTGCCGAATTAGCAAAGCCGCAATGCAAGAGCGTGCAGCTTCCAAAACCAATATCCTTTTTCCCAGCAAGCTTGGGGCAGAGGGATACTCACTGGAGGGCCTCTTGGGTGGCGAAGTGGCTGTGCTCCTTGCGCTCTGCGCATTCGTACTTGCAAGTGCTGTCGACGGCCTGGGAGTGGCTGGGCTGCTTTTTGCGGCCGGCCGAGGAGTCGTAGCGGACGGGGGCTTCAAAGGGGAGGTCCGCTTATCAGGGCTCTTTGCGTCTGTCCCCTGGAAAGAAACAAACAAAAAGGACCCAAGTCAAAGAGAGCTTTCCCGCCTTAAGACAACCTCTCATCCATCTGAGATGCTTGTTCAGATTTTCCCTGGAAAAGAGTTGCATGCCCAACAGCACCACCGTCAGCTTTGCAACCTTGGGTGGGCTTCATGGAAAGGGATCTATAGCGAGTCGCAAAGTCTGCAACTTTTCCCTGCAAGGGTCTCCCTGCTCTTCCCATAACAAGTGAAAAGATAATCGAAAGCCTGTCTTTTCTTTTTCTTAATTTTTAAATTTTATTAGTATTTCCCACAAAACAACATGAAAAATATCAAAAAATAACAACACACAAAACCCAACATACAAAAAACCCCAAATCCATATCTTGCAAGTTAATAATATAAACACTAAAAAGAAAAACAAACCTTGACTTCCACCAATCCCATAACACCTCCTTTACCTCTCGTTGCGTCTTCCTGTTTCCCTTATCATCTCCATCCTAGCATCTAGATATAAATCCCTCTTTCCTATCCTTTCACTGCACAAGGTTATTCCAGACTCAGCCAGATTTCTGTCCTCGAACCTTGACTTTTAAGGTATTCATTTAGACACTCCCATACCTTTTTCACTTCACTTTTTGGTATTTGTCTTATTATATCTGTCTGTCTTTTCAGGAGGAAATCAGAGCTTGGCTTAAATAAAGATATCCTAATCTAATGGGGGCGGGGTGAATAGAATTGACGGGCAGGCACCTTCTGGATCAGCAGCCAATCGAAATGTCCCCAAATACTGAGCAAACTTCTAAACTATTCTCCCATAAGCTGCATGTTCAGCAAAGGGGTGGGCGAAGTTTGCTTGAGGCTAAGGCCATAAGGTCTCCATTTAGTGACCATCGTAAAGGTGGAGTGTAGGAGCAGACAGCAGACTTAGCTGGATCAGGATCTCCTAAGGGCTATGTAGGTTTCAGGCTCAAAGGAACTGCAACAGCAAGTAAAGGCTGATAACCCCAACCCCATTTTTGAAAACAAAAAATCTCTCTTTTATCCTAAATCTGTCTCCAACCTCAAGCAAAACACAACAGATTATCTGGGGTCAAATGAGTGATTTCACCTAGGTTTGGAACGCTGGCCAAATGGACGACTAAATGTTGCCTGCTTAGTATCTGACAGCGGTCAGGTCAAGGATAATAATATTATTATTTATACCCCGCCCATCTGGCTGGGTTTCCCCAGCCACTCTGGGCAGCTTCCAATGGAACACTAAAATACAATAACCCAATAAACATTAAAAGCTTCCCTAAACAGGGCTGCCTTCAGATGTCTTCTAAAAGTTTGGTAGTTGTTTTTCTCTTTGACATCTGGTGGGAGGGTATTCCACAGGGCAGGCGCCACTACCGAGAAGGCCCTCTGCCTGGTTCCCTGTAACCTCACATCTCAAGTGAGGGTATCGCCAGAAGACCCTTGGCGCTGGACCTCAGTGTCCAGGCAGAACGATGGGGGTGGAGACGCTCCTTCAGGTCTACTGGACTGAGGCTGTTTAGGGCTTTAAAGGTCAACACCAACACTTTGAATTGTGCTTGGAAATGTACTGGGAGCCAACGTAGGAGGCCTTTGCTTGTATTAAAGTGGCAGAGAACTGAGGGATCACAAGGGTTTCGCCCCTTCCTACTTAGCAGGAGTCAGGACAATTTCTATATGTGTAGGCTTGCAGGGGTCTGAAGGTTTGAAGTTCCACCAGCTCCCTCCGCAGAATCTCCAGGGGAAGAAGTAAAATTGAAGACTGGGAGGTGAGAAAGAAAACTCGGTTGTGGGATGCGGCAAGGTAAGGACCCCTGACCATTAGGTCCAGTCGTGACCGACTCTGGGGTTGCAGCGCTCATCTCGCTTTATTGGCCGAGGGAGCCGGCGTACAGCTTCCGGGTCATGTGGCCAACATGACTAAGCTGCTTCTGGCGAACCAGAGCAGCGCACAGAAACACTGTTTACCTTCCCACCGGAGCAGTACCTATTTATCTACTTGCACTTTGAGGTGCTTTCGAACTGCTAGGTGGGAGGGAGCTGGGACCGAGCAATGGGAGCTCACCCCGTCGCGGGGATTCGAACCGCCGACCTTCTGATCGGCAAGTCCTAGGCTCTGTGGTTTAACCCATAGCGCCACCCGCGTCAGCAGGGACAGGATAATTTCTGCTCATGGAGGGCCTACACAGGAGCCGTTCCTTTAGAAGACACTTGACCACTTCTATCTTTTAGTGTGGCAGGACCTACACTTCGGAACTCCCCGCCTATTGATACCAGTGCAGACAAGATTAACCAGGCATGTAGAATGTTGACATATTTTTTAGTTTATCGATGATTTCATTTGTTGGGATGTTTTAAATTCTTCTTGACGATTCTACTGCTTTGTCTTTTTTGAGGGTTGTTTCGGCCGTTTCCCCTTTTCACTATCAGGTGGTGTAAAAATCTTATGCAATAAAATAAGTAAGGCGCTGCCTTTAATTAATTTATTTCTTAGTTCCCTGGCTCTTTTCCGCTCACTGGAATCACTCGTGCTCCCTCTTCCTTTCCCTGGTCATCTGCCAAGAGGAAGCTCTTTTAATTACAGGCAGAAAAAGAAAATTGCTCCACAGGCTTAGATGGCGTTTGTCCGAGACCATCTGGGACTTCTGGGCAATGACCAATTTATCTATGAACAACTGATGCAGCAAAGAAACATTGGGGGGGGGGTTGGTGAGGGGGAGAGAAATTTATTTGTTTGACAGGTTTCCTTTCCTTGCACAATACTTTAGAGCAGTTTCTGATTGCTGAGCGGCAATTTAGAACCGGTGACATATTTTGGGATTAAACAGCCCTTTCCTGGCGAAGATCCAAAGTGTTCTCCTATGTTTGCTGCCCGCTCTGGTTTCCAGGCACACTAAGTCAATTATAAAAAGTGTCAGGATTTTGATGAGTGAGGCCTGGTAACTATGGGAACCGGGAACCGTAAGCTAAGGTTACTTACCTAAAGGGCCGCATTTCCATTAAAATGTAAGCTCCGATGGCTCCTGCTCAGGGACAGCTCATCCCTTCGTTTCGGATTTTAACAGGGCTGCTGAACCACCCACCCTCCCGCACCCAGAGAACGGAGGGGAGGCAGGCAGGGAGCAGAAGCAGTCGGCAGGGCCGGCCCTGTGTGATGAGGCAGAGTGATGCAGCTGCCTCAGGTGGCAGATGCGGAGGGGCCAGAGCTGTGAGTGCTCTGCATTCCCTATGCTAGCCAGCTGCCGTCAAGTGCGGTGGAAGATGCATTCCTTTGACCACTATTGGGGTAAGATGCTGGTCCGATTGGCTCCTCTATGGGCCTTGGGAAGGGTGCCATCTTGTCCTCCTCAGGCAGCAAAATGTCTTGAGCCGGCCCTGGTAGCTGGCACCCACTGGGACTGGTAGAGCGGAAGGAAGGGAGCCCAACAGCAGGTGGTGCTAGAGGCACCGAATTCTAGTTTTGTCCTCATCCTCTTCCCTCCTGAGCTGTACAAGGGCAATGCAGAGCCAACGAACCCTCCTCTATTAATACACAAACCCTCTCTGTGCAGAAAGCTAAGGAGACCTGGATAGTTCACCTGGTTCGAGCGTGATGATGATTACGCCAAGGTTGTGGGTTCGATCCCCCTATGGGACAGCTGCATATTCCTGCACTGCAAGGGGTTAGGGATGATCCTCAGGGTCCCTTCCAACTCTACGATTTTCCCTGACACCCTAGCTTTCTTCCTGAGTGGATTTTGGACCTGTATTTAGAAGCGATGCACCATGTGCTTTCCTGGAAGGTCTGAAGTGGCGGCAGGGCAAACGCTGCACCACTGAACAGGAGGACAAAGCAATGGCAATTTATCCAGGGATGGAGCACGAGATGCCAACAGCCCAGATGTGCTCAACAGGACAACCCGGCTCCAAGGCCACAACCCTCCCCCCTTGCACACAAGCGACTTACCTTCGGTTTGGGCTCTTTAGGAGTTAAGGAGGAGGGTCGTGCGGCGCTCGTCGCCAGGCGTTTAGGGGTGGTGGCTGCGGTAGGGCTGGTGGCTTTTTTGTTTTGGCCTGGCATAGCGGTGGACGCCGGCCGCTTGGCAGGGGCAGCGGCAGCAGTGGGGGCGCCCTTGGTTTTCGCTGCTGCTGCTGCTGCTGCAGGCTTTGTTGCTGAAGTGGAGGCTGAAGGCTTGGTGTCAAAACGTACACACACAGAACACACACACACACACACACACACAAGCAAAAAATGGACGTAACAAAAAGAAAAGAAGCGCATGGTAAACAAAAGGTCCGAGCGGCAGAAATGGGAGCAAAGAAACAAGTCAAAAAGGAAAGATGGCAGCATGCGGTTCTCTGAGCCTAAGGAAAGAGCTGCCAATGGCGAGGAGGACTAAATGTTGCACTATATAGGGAAGGGAGACCGCTCAGTGGAAGGACGCCTGCCTGGCATGCAGAAGGTCCAACAGCATCTCATAGAATCATAGAGTTGGAAGAGACCACAAGGGCCATCGAGTCCAACCCCCTGCCAAGCAGGAAACACCATCAGAGCACTCCTGACATATGGTTGTCAAGCCTCTGCTTAAAGACCTCCAAAGAAGGAGACTCCACCACACTCCTTGGCAGCAAATTCCACTGTCGAACAGCTCTTACTCTCAGGAAGTTCTTCCTAATGTTTAGGTGGAATCTTCTTCCTTGTAGTTTGGATCCATTGCTCCGTGTCCGCTTCTCTGGAGCAGCAGAAAACAACCTTTCTCCCTCCTCTATGTGACATCCTTTTATATATTTGAACATGGCTATCATATCACCCCTTAACCTCCTCTTCTCCAGGCTAAACATGCCCAGCTCCCTTAGCTGTTCCTCATAAGGCATCGTTTCCAGGCCTTTGACAAAGGTCAAAGGTCTGGGAGAGATCCCTTTATGAAACCCTGGAGAGCAGCTGCCAGCCAGTGCAGACAGTACAGAGCGAGATGGGCCAGTGGTCCGTCTTGGAATTAAGGCAACTTCCTAGGTTCCTGTTTAGCACCCAATCCATGCTGGAGTTTGCAGACTCAACCTCTCTCTAAGAATCAGCCCCCCGAATGAGATCTTTGGTAGAGTCAATTGTTACAACAGCCTTGTAACTGCATCCAGAAAAAAACATGGCATCCCCTGTGTCTGCACAGGCCTCTTGGGAAACTGAGAAACAGGGGTGACCTGTCAAGGGGCAGCAGAGAAGAGCCATCTCTCTTCAGGTGGGGAAGGGGTGTAGCTCAGGAATAGAGTATCTGCTTTGAATGCAGGTTCAAATCCTACTGGAATCTCCCGGTAGGATTGGCCAGTGTAGGCAACAGTGAGCTTGGGGGACCGGTGGTCTGACTCGGTATACGGCAGATTCCCATATTCCTTAATATGAGTCCCAGGATCAGTTCCCAGCTTACCTGGAGAAAAGAGTCTCAGGTGGCAGATGAGAAGAATGACCCTTTCTCAGCTGCTGCCAATCAAAGTATACAGTGGTACCTCGGGTTACATATGCTTCAGGTTACATACGATTCAGGTTACAGATTCCGCTAACCCAGAAATAGTATGTTGGGTTAAGAAATTTGCTTCAGGATGAGAACAGAAATCGTGCTGCGGTGGTGCAGCGGCAGCAGGGAGGCCCCATTAACTAAAGTGGTGCTTCAGGTTGAGAACAGTTTCAGGTTAAGAACGGACCTCAGGAATGAATTAAGTTCTCAACCCAAGGTACCACTGTATACTGGGTGCCATGGCCTGGTTGGAGTGGTGGGAGGAACCAGCTGGGGAAGCCCCCGGGAAAGAAGGCTCAGAGCCCAGGGATTGGTGGTGGGATGACAAAGTGTGTCCTATTTTACTTAATTCAAGAGGGTTCTGGAAGCTTCTCTGTGTGAAGGATACAAGCAGGAGGTTGATGATGTTTGGGTTATTCCTTCAGAGAAGCTGAGTCCAGCTGGCTTAAACTGGTTATGTCATCTCTTCTGACAAGGTCATACTGACTATAATAACAACGCCAGAAGGAGCCTGGGTTTCACTTTCTCTTTCTATCTCTTTTCCTTCTGGTGTTGGTGTTCTGTGTACAGTGGTACCTCTGGTTACGTACTTAATTCATTCCAGAGGTCCGTTCTTAACCTGAAACTGTTCTTAACCTGAAGCACCACTTTAGCTAATGGGGTCTCCTGCTGCTGCCGCCCCGCTGGAGCATGATTTCTGTTCTCATCCTGAAGCAAAGTTCTTAACCCGAGGTACTATTTCTGGGTTAGTGGAGTCTGTAACCTGAAGCGTATGTAACCTGAAGCATATGTAACCCGAGGTACCACTGTGTAGTGTTAAGCTTCAGACTTAACTTAAACTTACAATAACTTATAAGAAGTCTGAAGCTTAACACTACACAGTGGTACCTCGGGTTACATATGCTTCAACTGGATTGCTGCAACTGGATTTCTGAAGGAAAGGGCCAATCGTAAAAGTATTGAACTTGTGACCATTCTGCTCCTCTGCCTTCAGTAGCAGTAAAGCTCTGCTGGATGAAGTATTAATTGCCTCTGGTCTGTTTTTGGGGAATCCTGCAACGTGTTTTAAGTTTTTACTCTGCTAACTATACGCTGAATTCTGCTCTGGTTCAATACTGAGTAGAATTCCATGACAAGAAGTCCAGAATCAGAGGCGGGAGTAGGAGAGGAAGGAGGCCAAGAGGCAGAGAGGAGTCTGGCTGGTGAAGGGTCACAGATGTCTCCCCCTCCTGCTGCGACAAGCTCCTCTCTCCCCTTGTCTCCCTGAACCAGAAGAGGGCTGAAACCAGTGGAGAAGTGGCAGGCATGCAGGCACAGTCTCCGACTGCTTGGAAAAAACCCTGGAGATGAGGGGACTTAAGACAGTCTCTGCAACTGTTTCACTGCGGCAAGACCTACAGAGGAAGAGTTGTTGCTGTGCTCATTAGGCCTGACACACCTGTGCAGGTTCCGTTTGTTTGTTTTTCTAATAATGTGTTAACACCACTGACTCCGTGTGATTTACTGCTGGCTGGCTTGCTCCTGATCTATTTTCCAGAAAGGGCAACCTGTTCACATCGTGATAGCTGTCAGAACGCAGGGAGCTGCTTTATACAAAATCGGACCACTGGTTCATCTTGTTCAGTACTGCCAGCGTCAGGGATGGAGGAACTGTGGTCGTCCGTGTGATGCTGGACTCCAGATTGCATCATTCCTGAAAGCGACTTGGAGTTCAACCACATCTGGAGGTTCCCTAATCCCTGGTCTAACTTCACTGGCAGAGGGAAAAGATGAAGTGAGCAGCTCAGCTGCTCTTCATTTCCAACTTGACGCAACACAATTCACTCCAGGCCTACTTATGTCTGAGGACTCCTCCAAGCACGCAAAACAGGGCTGGGTACAGAGCAGACATTGGGAAGAAAGCTGCTCAACATCTGTGCCAGGACTCTTCTCATAGCCACCACTGGGTTAGAAATGAGGAGCTTAGGGATGGGATTAACAGCCTTGAGTGCTATCAAACTGGGCTTGGTAGCCAGCTACTTTTCTTGGGAGCCCATCAGCTCAGAGGACAGAACTTATCGTTGGCTTAAGAAGCAAAAAGGGGGAAAGCAGGGTGCCGAAAACCAAAACCCGCAGCGCTGGAAGCACAACACGGTCGACCCTCACCTTGGCTTTCTTATCGGGGCTCGGCGGAAGCTCCTTGCTTGGAGGGGCCGCGATGTCGTTCGCTGTGGTGACCTCGGCGGCTGGTTTTATCTCTTCTGGTTTTGCTGACCAAAGCAAAGAAGGAAAAAAGGAAATTAATTAAAAAATGCACTTGGATTCCATGCGTCAACAAGAGGCCTTTAGCAGAGGCTGTATGACAGCACCAAAGGAGCTTGGACAGAGCTCAAAGAGTGCAGCTGAAGGGACAGGTATCGGTGCCTCTTTCACTACCGCAGGGTGCTACAAAGTCTTCCCATCACACTGGGAGTGGACTTCTACATGCTGGTTAGAGGCATTTGCCATGTTTAGGCAGCAAACTTGGCTTTGCTAAGCTTAATCTAGAAATGGTGGAACGCATGGCATGTAGATCTGTTTCCACCACCACCCCAAACCCCCATTTTCAGCCCACGAACAGCAAAAGTCAACCTGCCTTGACAACAAGCTATGAGCTCAGTTTCCACTTGTGTGTGATGTTACTCTGCAACCCATTTTGAGTGGATACCAGCCAAGAAGCCACCCTAAAATATTCCTACTTGCCTATCTAAAAGGGATGCTATCCTGGAAAATGATCAAGAAACAGGACTCAACCTTTTAACTGCTGCTAAGATGATGCTAGCTAGAATTTGGGGAGGGGCAAGTATATCCCCTACCATACGCAAATGGATGGGGGGCGGAATTGGCTGATAGTAACCATGATCAAATGAACTTATTAAATCCAGACTAGCAGATTTTTGGAAAAATAGGTATATATGGGTAATATTTTGGAATAACAACTTTAATGATGATATCCTGCCGTATGCTGCATTCAACTTGTTGTATTATTTATAATATTTTTTTATGGATATTCTTTGGTTTACCGTAATGAAATCTAAAGAAATAAGATTAAAAAAGCAGAAGCCACGGCTGCTGGAGGGTTTTTCAGAATGCCTCCTGTACTATGCCTACGCAGGATTTCAAAAGTCGTCAGAAGCGCCATGATCTAGCCGTGCCCATCTTCCAGGCCCCGATAAACGTGGAGCCGAATGGCTTTTAAGATTTGCATCCATTCAGAACACATTCAAAAATGTCAAGCCTTCACACTGCCATGCACTGAGGCTGAACACATCGGCACACATTAACTCCCTTTCCATCGCTCGGTTCTAACCGTAACTGGCATGCGGATGCAGAGACTTTGCTTGCACTTGCAGACCACAGGAGATAATTAGCAAGGGGTCTGGACTGATCCAGCAGCTCTGCTATTACAGAGCTCATCTCAGCGATCCCAGGAGCCAGAAACACCAGCTAGGAGACTTCAAGGAAGGTGGCGCCGGGTGGCAGCCAAGAAGAGAAGGATTTTGGAGGTATGCAACTGCTAGGAGCTAAATGCAGTTGAGGGGAAATGCAACGCGGGAGGGACAAGGGATCTTCCTCCTGCCACAGGAACTGCTCCCGAAGCATAGCAAGTTCTTAATATCACGATACGGACCAGATCGCAGGAAGCCGCCTTATGCCCAGGACTACGTGATGTGGAAAAATGCTTCATTCTGCACAGAGGAAGCAAAAGCAGTCGCCAGCACAGTATGCTCCCATCAACTCCAGCCAGCACCGCCAGTAATCAAGGGTGATGGGAGCTGCATCCTAGGATGCTGGTGGTCCCTGACATATTTTAAAGTCTAACTGGAGAAGGAGAGGATCCCTCTCTGAACATCCACCAGCCCACATGTCGTGCTCCTTCTCTCTCCATTTGTGGTCCCCAGAAACTGATTCAGAAGCATCACAGCCTCTGACTGTGGAGGCAGAGCAGAACCATCGTGGCAAATAATAAATTAATAATAATAATAATAATAATAATAATAATAATAATAATAATAATTTATTTATACCCCACCCATCTGGCTGGGCTTCCCCAGCCACTCTGGGCGGCTTCCAACAAAATATTAAGATACCGTAATGCATCAAACATTAAAAGCTTCACTAAACAGGGCTGCCTTCAGATGTCTTCTAAAAGTCTGGTAGTTGTTGTTCTCTTTGACATCTGGTGGGAGGGCGTTCCACAGGGCGGGTGCCACCACCGAGAAGGCCCTCTGCTTGGTTCCCTGTAACCTGGCTTCTCGCAGTGAGGGAATAGCCCCCGAAAGTCTTCTCTTCCCACAAACGTGTCAAATCCTCTTTTAAAGCCCTCCAAATTGGTGGGCGTCGCTACCTCTTCTGGGAGCAAATCCCATGGTTTTTAACTATGAGGTGTGTGAAGAAGGACCTCTGTTAAGTCTGCCCTGAATCTTCCAGCAATGTTTGGGTTTGGAAAGGGCTCAGTTGGCTGACTGCGACGGGGGGGAGGAAAAAGGAGAGCACATTCCCCTGGGAGGAACACCTAAAACCCTTTGGCACATGAGCTGGCAATACCAAAGGAGGGAGCTGCTCTGCTGCAATGCAGGTTACTTTCTGGGCCAAGAAGGTAATGCCCAAAAGAGCCCATGCCAAAGAAGCCGTGTACCTGGCACTACCCGAGAGGGGCAGGAAGGAACTGGCATTGTAAGTAAGTAAGTAAGTTAATTTTTATTTATACTCCGCCCCCCCAGCCAAGACCAGGCTCGGGGCGGCTAACATCAAATATCAAATACGTTAAAACACAATCAAACTAACTAACAGGAAGGATTCGAAACCGGCGAGACCAGAAATTCACGGAAGACTGGAGTAAATTTACGGACTATTTGAAAAGTAATTGTGAAGAACAGACGACGTTTGTAGGGTTGCAAGAAGTTTTGTGAGGAGTATTATTAGAAGTACTGTAAAAATGGACAAGAGGGAGGATGATTTGTTAAGAGATGTAAAGGCAATATAAAGTCAAGAAATGCATAAGAAGTGGTTAAAATGGTGGATCATCAGAGGTGCTGATGGAAGTCTAAAAAGATTGTATAGTGATAAGTTTCGTGGTACATTTTATAATTTATATGTTAAAATTAATAAAAAATATTATAAAAAATAAATAAAAATGAACCTACTCATAAAACACAATCAAACAATTGATTAAAATACAGCTTAAAGATTAGGATCGAGATAAAATTAAATGATTGCCCACGAATTACAACCACAGGGATCGGGAACCTCAAGTATTCATCAGGGCCAGCTATCCATGTTGGTCCCACATGTGCCGATAAAAGGGCCAAAGAGGTAACTTACCTCTTTGGCAAACTGGGCCTGGGCCGAAGGCCAGGCAACCCACTTGGGCATGCCAGGAGGCTTCAGACTTCCGCTCAACTCCCAGTGCTGCGAATGGCTAGCTGAAATTCCTGCATTTCAGGGGGCTGGACTAGATGATCCTCAGGATCCCTTCCAACTCAACAATCCTGTGATTCTACAGTTTCGGCGCAGGGAGTGGGCTGGGATGCCTTCAGAATCCTATGCAGGGGTGTGTGAGAGGACATGACCTTTTTTTTAAAGGCTTGGCCGCGGGTGGCGCTGTGGGTTAAATTACAGAGCCTAGGACTTGCCGATCAGAAAGTCGGCGGTTCGAATCCCCACGACAGGATGAGCGCCCGTTGCTCGGTCCCTGCTCCTGCCAACCTAGCAGCTCGAAAGCACGTCAAAGTGCAAGCAGATAAATAGGTACCGCTCCAGCGGGAAGGTAAACGGCGTTTCCGTGCGCTGCTCTGGTTCGCCAGAAATGGCTTAGTCATGACCTGGAAGCTGTACGCTGGCTCTCTCGGCCAATAAAGCAAGATGAGCGCCGCAACCCCAGAATCGGTCACAACTGGACCTAATGGTCAGGGGTCCCTTTACCATTACTTCTTGACTCACTTCCCACAGCAACCCTTACGGGCCCACCTTGCTCCCCTCCCTCCAAATAACGTGGCCTAGTGGTTAGAGTGCCGGACTAGGACCTGGCAGAGGCCAGCATTCAAATCACGACTTGGCTACAAAGATCACTGGGTGACCTTGGTTGGGGGCCAGTCCCTGTCTTCTCTCGAACTCGCCCACCTTGCAGGGGTGTTGTGAGGAGAAAATGGGGAGGAAGAGAACCCTGCCTGCCATCTTGAGCTCATCAGAGGAAGAAAAAAGGTGGGATAGAAATGCAAATTAAAAATCAATAAACAAACCAGCCTTGCATAAGCAAAGACCAGGGGCAGGAAAGGAGGGGTGCGGTTGGGGTGTTTGTGTTGCTAGAAACGAACTTCATTCCCTGCCCCTAAACCGAGTTATTAATGTGTTTCAGAATTTTCTTCCGCCACAGGCAGAAGCATGTATAATTCAGTTTGTCACACGGGCGGATTTCACACCATGGAAAGAGAAACTTGCTGCGGGACTCAGCACCCCCAGGGCCTCTGGCAGGATTAAATTAGCAGCCAGTTCACCGAGGCTTTTGGATGGCTCAGGGCTGTCTGCTGCCTTTTCAGCGACAGTCCATCTCCCCAAGTTCAAGGACACACAGACACGTCTTTAAACTCGCAGCCGCAGAGACCAGAAGTCACCTTTATGCAATAACGATCGATCACAGCATTCCTACCCATTCAGCAGCCTCCATCTTGCCAGTTCTGGGTACAGTAAGACGCCACAAAGCTGTTTATCCAAGCACAGAATGGGAGTTCCGTGCGGCTCCTATTCGAGATGGCAATTTATTTATGATGTGCTTACCCTACTCTTCCTGTATGGCATGGAGAAAGAGGGGAGAGATAGTTTCTCTCTTGCACACACAACGCCAGAAGTCGTGGGTATCCAACAAGGCTGGAGATCGAAAGATGGATGGATAAGAACTTCTTCACGCTGCACAGAGTTGAGCTGCAGAACTCGCAGTGGTGGCCTCCAACTTGGTTTTAAAAGAGGATTAGACAAATTCAGGGAGAAGGATCTGGGAAAGCTCAGACTCAGGGGTCAGCAACTTTTTCAGCCGTGGGCTGGTTCACCGTCCCTCAGACCATGTGGAGGGCCGGACTATATTTTGAAAAAAATAATGAACAAATTCCTATGCCCCACAAATAACCCAGAGATGCATTTTAAATAAAAAGCACACCTTCTACTCATGTAAAAACACCAGGCAGGCCCCACAAATAACCCAGAGATGCATTTCAAATAAAAAGACGCATTCTAC